GTCACAGTCACTGAGCGAAATGACTGGATGTCGCAAACAGTGGCGCTCATGCATCTACCCTTTATTCTTATAGCTGCGGTCTTTGCAAATGCGCTTAGATTTGCTGTCGATATTCTTATCATTGGTTTGCGGCTTTTTCTATTGGGTTATCAATATACCTGCAACCAGTACAGGTGCACGATAGTACATATTTAATGGTTTAGAGACTGAACTGAAGTGTGGTGAGGGGATAAGCATTTATTGTGTAGCTCAATTCGCCTTTCAAATCACTTAGGTACAAACAGCGCTAAACATTCTGTAATTGATGAAGCACTGCTTATTCGATTACGTCTCGCGACCTTATGCACACAGTCGTCATGGGTACAATCAGTGCACTTACCGTGGAGTTACCTTCTACTTCACTAATTACCAGATTTGTAGCATGCCTGTTCGATGACGTAAATGTCGCCTTATTTATCTTTCATCGCTTTAATAACCCAAACTGGGAGGTGTTCGACTATTCCAGGACGTGACAGCTTCACTGTTCTGCTTATCCAGATAGACAGTACAGATGGTCTGTAACACGATTATGCCATGTCATCCAATTGGCTTCCTCGACGACTACTGTTTACCAATTCAGATGGTTTCGAGAAGACCAGGAGTGGTAACCTGGACCATGTCACGCAGATTGTGTTAGGCTTCTAATGGATAATTAGATCCTTTAGTAATAGTGGCACTCATGCATCTACTCATTTAGTGTGCACCTTTTATTGCCTCACATTGGATGTACTTTGGTTATATATTCACCTTTTGGGGCTCATAAAGGATATACGTGTATCGGGAATTCTTGTACATCAAATTGTCAGATTTGCAAACAGCCCAAGTCGAATTCTCAGTTTGACTACTGTGGACCCGACAAGCAATTAAACGTCTACGCTAATGATCTGTAATTTTTAACTACTGGTTGTGTTTGCAGTGGTGAAACGGGAAAATCGACCTGGGCCGTTTAGTCAGCTAGTTATTCAGTGTACAAGAACTTCTGGTGCATCAGTATACTTGGCTTGAAAATGCACTGGAATCCACTAAGTAGCCAGGGCTCTAAAATGACTCTGTCTGCAGAAGATGCTCTAAACAATTGTTATCTTTGCTTGCAGNCATCTGTTCGTCAGTCACCGAGGACCAGCGTGCGGGACGGTAAGTCCGTCGCCAGACATCGTAATTCAAAGCAACCGATTAACGATTCTCCCGTTCGTCGTTCGAGTCGTCTGGAGTCTATGAATTCGAACCGAAAGCTGAAATGTAACAACACACCGAAACCTGAAGATAACGAAGACGAGGATGATCGCGAACTTGAGTTGGGAAACCTTTCGATTGATATTGCCACAGATATCGACACAAATGATGAGTACGTTTTCACTTTCTGGTTATGCTATAGTCAACATGTTTAACTTTTACCGAAGCCAACGAGTAATTAGTATCGATTAGTGAAACTTTCAAAGTAAATCATGTGTAAAATCGGGTGTACATGGATAAGATAGACCATCAGCCATTTATCCCAAGAACTCGTGTAAAATAGCTATACAGTAGCACATGAAGCGCCTACAAAGTTGCTGATTTCTGCTTTTGTGCAACACAGCAGTATTACTACGGGCGTGTGGCAAAGGTCCCGAAATTATTACTCTGGGATACTTTTTTCAAATCCTATCATCATCGCCTGCTTCCCNCCTTCCTGAAAATTGCATCTTTGTATATTCAGGGTAACCAAATAAAATGAAAAGAAAAATATTGCGCGCTCTGGTTAAATACCAGACCGAATCACTTAGATCCGCTGATCATTCAGGATAACCAACAACCTAATCCCCGGGGACTTGGAATGAAAAGCCCCATAAGGCCTCATCGGGTGGATGTGGTATTAGGCCCAAAACACGTCAGTGACGGCGACTTTAACAGCTTGACCGGCCGCTGGTCACCTCGATTTTGGATCGGCTGCCTTCTTTGATTCCCATATGCTTCATTAAGGGGATACAATTAGTTCTAAAGGTTAATGTCAAATCAGGAATTCTCAACGATGGTACACTGAATAGCAGTGCAATGTCATTTGAATGTTTCTGTTTTACAATTTTTGGTATGCTGACTTGTATTATTTCAATAGTTATTCGGTTCATAGCCACATCGGTCGTTCCGACTTCCTTTCCGTTCATCCATTCGGGTGATAAGCAGTCCCTGTCGAGTGATTATCCCTGCTTGTTGCATTTCTGACTCTAGTTTGTTTTTACTTCCCAGCACCCTCAAGCTGTGAAACACCCTATCTATTTTCCTACAATCTTCCTGTTGTCAGGCACAGAATTGGCAAACGTTTTATTACCTAAAGGTGTTGGATGCAGTAAAATAGATGAACTCGATAGCCCACGGATACTCTTACGATATATATGTGATTCCTAAGAGAACATTCAGACTGAAACCCACTTATTTCTTATATATTTCAAGGTTGTTTGTTAGTTGAAGGGAAGAAGGAACAGTGGAAGGTGTTCAACGGTTATGCATCATTTGTGTGAATAAAAGCACGATATCTAGGATTTGTCACTGGTTTTGATGTGCTCGGTAGGCATCTAAACTATGGTATTTGTTCCCTCTACTGTAATCCCTATGTAGCCTACAATAGATAACCGTGCAATGTTGCACACGAATCGATAGACTATATTGTCCGTGAGTATGTGAGCTTTTCTTGGGACAATGTCCGAAAACGAGCCTCCCGTTTGTTATGTCACCTCCGAGTTCAATTCAAGGCCGAAATCGGTTTTTTTTACTGATTCGCGTAATGGTCGTTGTATCCACTTATGCTTATACGACCTTCACCGTCTAAGTGGCGATATTGTGTATTTTACAACACAGTTTTTTTCAATAAAACTACAACCATAGAAGCCATCTCGCATCCATCACAAACCCATCACAATTATCACTAATACAATTTCGGTCGATAAATTCATTTCAATGTGATTAAAAAATGTAGACGAACGCAGTTCAATGAATTGTCCTTTTCTATGTCACTATAATTATTTTATTCCACACAAAAAACCGGAGCAACTTTTTGATAAAATTCCTATAACCGGCTGTATGGCCAAGATCGTGAAAATGACGCTAACAGACAATCAAAGCGAATGCAACAATG